AAATTATCTTAGATAGAAATTCATAAAAGTTTTTTTTTTTAGATCTAAGATTTGAAAATTAAATACAAGGCTCCTAACATATTTTTTCAATATCAGTTGAAAAATATCAACTAATATATTATAGTCATTATTTTTTTTTATAAGCATTCGAAGTTTGAAATTTGATAACATACGTAAAAATCACGAAAATTCGCAAATTATTTTAAGYTAGAAATTCATAAAAAAATTTCCTTTTATATCTAAGATTAAAAAATGTTTAATAAACTATATTATATCCTAAACAGATAAACCGTCTCCACTCAGAATCGTTTTCGTATACAATGATATAATATCATTGGATTCAAATTTAATTCCATCCATTACAGTAACCCACTTGTAACTTCCAGTGCATCAGAGTGACATCCATGACTTAACCGCTTTTTTTTTAAATTGAAGTAAAWAATTTATATTTTTCAAAAAATTGAGAAAATAAGAAAATATCACAACAAATGATGTTTCATTGCCAACGATCACAACTGAACTGAATTTAGCTTAAAATATTTCAATAAAATGTTCATCAAATATAAAATACTAGAATAAAACTATCATAACTTTAATTATAATGTACATCAATCAATAAAAGTTTACAGTTATTTATAAATGTGTTGGAATCAGTATGAAGTAAAATTAGTAATTACGTAGTTATTGAATTCTAAAATAAATATTTCGTTGATTGACAGTCATCTTACTCTTTAGTTATAAGATTGATGAGATACTTAGGCTTAAAAGCTGTGGTGCTTTTTTGACGAGCATTACTATAAGAAAGTTTGTAGATGGTTGTATAGAATAATGAATAAGTTTACGTTAAAGCTAATGCATTGTGTTTATAGTATACAAATTAATATAGTTCTTATATAGAAAAAAATTGAGACTTGACACATTCAGTAGGCTATATTAAAAGGAATAAGGCTTTGTGAAAAATTTGACCTTGGTAATTTAAGTTATATCTAATTTAAAAACCATCGTCATTTTTGGTATAGAATATTTATTATAATACTATTCAATTCATTCTAAATTAATATAAAAATAGGAATATAAAATAATGCAAGTAGAGTAGATAATATTGCCACAAATATTTAGATATACCAGCATTTTCCGGACGAAGTAGAATCATTTTTGCAATTATTAAATTATTTTTAAACCTCTAAATTTTTAGAATTTTCTTCCATTTACATTAATACATTTTTTATATTATTTCAAAAATCTTTAAAATTTAACACAAGGTTCCTCAATTTATTCACACACAGTAATTTAAAAATCAAATATACGAGGAAGAATTTCGTTTTATATGCATTTAGTGATCAAATATTGACAAAACTCTTAAAATTCACAACAATTTGTTATTTATTTTGTTTTCAATAATTAATATAATCTTTAAACTTTAATTTGTATAGCACCTTAGAC